TGTCGAGATTCAGAAAAAATACTTTTTCACAAAGATCACTAATAAAATTGTCATGGTAGTGGGGTTAGGGTCAGCTAATATTTTATAACATATTGCTCACACTTGTGAAAAAAACGAAGCAAATAATGATTGTTGCTGTTAATTTTACAATTATATTAACAACGCGGAATAGGTGAAATCTGAATAATGATGATGATGTTTCTCCTGACCGATTCCGGCCACGGTGGCAAATCTCATTGAGACTAGCCAACTGCGCAGGAGATATTATTATAGTGCACAAGATGTGTGCGTGCAGACACAAGTACACTCTCTATTCCTGTCACTCTCATACTCTGGTGGGACGACTGCTCGACACGACCAGTGAGAGTTAAGGCGCAGAACCGACGGCTTAACGCGCTCTCCGAGGCACGGGGGTGAAACACCGCCAACTTCCCAACAGAAAGACTCAGTAACTAAACTTGGCCCGACCCGGGACTCGAACCTAGGACCTCCGGGTGTGCAGCCGTACATGCTAGCCACTACACCACCGAGGCATTTAATAATAATACGACCCCAGCAGAAATCTGCTATAGCATATCTAGTTTAAACACAGACGAGCCTGTAGAACAATGTCAGTAGCCTTGTCGAGAGACCTATCAAAACATTGTATAGGGTCTTCCGTTGCCTGTTATAAATAGTGAATATTATTTGTACTCAGAAACTGACTTGAATCCGTTATTGACAAAGGACTATTTTAGGTAACGATAATAATTACTTGTTTGTTTTTAAGTTGAAAATTATAATAATGTAAACTTAAGATTAATAAATGAATTTGAAAATTATTTTACTTAATCTGTTATGTATTAAAGGTTATTATAATATTAGGTACATAATATATGTGCATTGTGAAGTATTTAGTAAAGTTTCAAATTTTTATGAAACCTCCCTTGGGATATAACCTCTCAATTAAAAAAAAAATTGATGATAATAGGTTCACAGTAGGCGAAGATATTGGGTAACATACGCAAATAATTATAACCGAACTTTTATGAAGTCTGTCCATTGGGTCTCAGAAAGTTTCATATACCTAATATATACATATATATATATAATATATATATATACATAATATATATATATATATATATATATATGTATATATATGTATATATATATATATATAAAAGTTTCATATACCTAATATATATAAGTTCCTTACTTATAGTCAAAATTTCAGTACGCTAAATACAGCGGTTGGGTCTGGGCCATGATGGACCGATCAAAGTAATAATCTATTTTATACTAGCGACTCACCCTTGCTCTTCTCGGGTTAGTCCCTAGTTACGTTTTAAAGTTTAGTATACATTTTTCAGGGATGAGATATTTTCCCGCTGTAAAAAATATTCTATATGTTGACCCGGATAACCAGATATCATCAAACCGAATTTTATCAAAATCTGTCCAGTGGTTTTCTCGTGATACGTTCGCAGACAATAGACAAATAAAAAATTTAAGAACTATAGATTCGACCTCTGTATCGATAATAATGACTACTTCAATAAGATTTTCCAAAAAAATATTTGATGTATAGATTCGACTCAGAATTTTATTATATGTATAGATTTATATAGATAAGCTTCACTAAAATCCATACATATGAAATCATATTTCTAAATCGATTTGTCGATCGACTAATCAAATGTATTGGGACGTCCATTTCCTTTCCTTTTTATCTTGTTTTTTTCTCGTCATTTGATGTCCGTACACGTACAATGGAACATGTGAAAGGGCACATACTGGCCTTAATTTTATTCAATTTGTAACTTTCGAACCCAAAACTTTGGTGATGCATGACTCGAACAGTAATTTGACTTTTATTGCTTTCAGTCTACCGGATATTTTGAAAAAGGTTTCTATAAATACAAGTATAAAATACAGAGAGTTATATATTGTTTCCTCAGTACTTCAAGTTTACAGCTTATTTGATATTGGAATGTTTAAATAAATAAATAATAATAAATATATATGTTAGGATATAAACACTTGTGTTATGGATACCAGATAGTTGATACGCTAAACATATAACTTTAAATACATACATATTATAAATATAAACACCCATGACTGGAGTACAAACATTCGTGCTCATCACACAAATGAATGCCCCCAGCGGGACCTGAACCCGCGATCGCTGGCACAGCAAGTAAGTAACTACAAACTGAGCCAAACGAGTCATCAAGTTTATATATATTGTTTTTTTTTTAAAGTAATACCGTTAAGATGTATAATGTATTTAAGATTACAGGTTTGATTATAGCACAGAGAAATGTTTGAATCTACTTTTACTGAAGCTTAAACATGTAGGCTATTATAAAACGTTTTCCAGAAGAAGCATACCTTGACGTGATTGCCTCCAGGCAGGCCACTTTCATGTTAGAAAATTAAGAGTAATTTATAATTTTCTTTACAAAAAAGATAAAAAAAATTTAGATTCTTTCTCCAGTTCTTATCACGACTTGGGCTTTTTAAGGTTTCGTAGCCCAATGTATAAAACACTACTCTTACAATTTCGCCATGTAGAGTCGTCCATCCGTACGTCACAGTCATTTTACTAGAACACTATTAGAGCTACATGATTAAAATTTAGTAGGTAGTAGTGGTATCTAACGTAAATCACTGGACAATTCTGTAGTCAAATTATTAAACATAAAAAAGAAGTGGGTTCCAAAGGTTTATGTGTAAATCATATAAGCAGGCGAAATTATAACAGTTTTGTTTTAGCCATTTAGCTACGGAACCCTAAAAAGGAGTTTTAAGACAAACTACTAATTTAACTAATTTAAAGACAAAAAACTAATTTAAAAGACATACACGTTGACACTAAAGAAATGGCATTTAATCTATGGGTTAGTTGTTAAGAAACATTTTAATTACGTAGGATATATATATATATATATATATATATATATATATATATAATATATAATATATATTTTGAAAGTAAACTTGCTTTAATTTTCTTAAGTATAATCACGTTTCATAAACGAGTAGGTACTTTATTTCCCTTATTATGTAAATAGTTTGCGAATAGCAACTCCACTCTTGTAGCTAACCGAACCAAACTCTAGGTGTGTATTAGAAGTTTACCACTTGCAGACTTTTCACTTGGAGAGTTGTTTAATTAACACTTTACAGAAGTTATTAAGTTTTATATTCAAGTATATACTTGAAGAACTTTAAAGATATAAGTATGTTGTTATAAGATAGAATTATAAAATACAATAGATATGTATAAGGAATGTAGATATAATGCATTGTACTTCGAAGATTTTAGTTAAAATGCATTATTCCTAATTAGATATGATGATCTTATTCCGATTAGATATCAGAAATAAAAACTTTTTAACAAAAAAATAAAAACCGACTTCAAAAAAGCACTAAACAGTAAAAAATAACTGATTGGTAGTTTTCATTTACTATACATACCTAATTAAATATTTTAAAGAGGCCTGACTCTTCATTCGATTAAAGAATCGGTATTGAAATTCACCTCTATGATTTTTGTCAAGTATTTTTTTATTTACAAGCTTTTTAGTTTTGGCCAGCTGGAAATTTTTAGTTTTATTGTGCTGTATAAACGGTTGCATATTTAAATATAGTGCACACATATAAGGTCTCTAAAAACATTTACGAAAAATACTCTTTTGTAAGTCGGCGTCAAAAAAGTGTAATATGTTATCGAAAACCAATAAAAATGGCATGGGTGTTTGTTTGTTATTGTTATTTTCTGGAAAATCTTATTGAAATAGACATTGTTATCGATACAGAGGCCAAATCTACTATTTTTAGAATTTTTGTCTGTCTGTCTGTCTGTCTGTCTGTCCGTCCGTCCGTCCGTCTGTCTGTCTGTCTGTGTTCTGTCTGTTACCGCATCACAGAAAAACCACTTGAGGGATTTTGATGAAATTTGGTACGGTGATAGCTGGTTATACGAATCAACATATAGGATACATTTTACCGCGGGAAAATATCTCATTTCTGAGAAAAAATACAAAAACTGCAATGTAAAAGCATACTGATATGTAAAACCTAAGAATTTGGTTTTATTTTCATCTGAACGCGGGCGGAGCCGTGGGCAATGCTAGTTATTATTATATATTAGTCTATGAGAGACGATAGGCATTTACCATCAGGTGGATCGTTTGCTCGTTTGCTCCTTCTTTAAATACAATATACTATATAGAGTGCATTATACGGTTAACTATAAATGGCTATAAATGCGACGCAGAAAGTGTAACCTATAAGCCTGACACTAATAGGTACATTTTCTTCAATATATTTATTGCAAACACTGCTAAAAATATAAAAACCTCTTAATTCGAAAGTCAATATTTTCGTACATTTATATGGTAATGCTTGTATAGCTAAATTGTGTTAGAGTTTTATGTTTGTGGTGGAGGGTCGCATGTCGTTCAATTTGCCCGCTTTTTACAACTTCATCATACTTTAAACTTCCTTTCGTTTAAAAGAGGAAGAACTTCCGGAGTGCTCATTGATGTTTATATATCAAATTTCTGTGTGCGTGTGTTCGCAATTCTTCTCCTTCTTAACGGTTTCACCGACTTTGAGATGTGTTTTTTGAGTACTTATGGGGTATGGATAGAATATGGATTATATGGGGAGGAGGGGCTGGGAGGGAGGTTTATCTGGATGGTTCTGGCTGTAGTTGAATAATTATATAAGTTACGTTGTTGTCGAGATTCAGAAAAAATACTTTTTCACAAAGATCACTAATAAAATTGTCATGGTAGTGGGGTTAGGGTCAGCTAATATTTTATAACATATTGCTCACACTTGTGAAAAAAACGAAGCAAATAATGATTGTTGCTGTTAATTTTACAATTATATTAACAACGCGGAATAGGTGAAATCTGAATAATGATGATGATGTTCTCCTGACCGATTCCGGCCACGGTGGCAAATCTCATTGAGACTAGCCAACTGCGCAGGAGGTATTATTATAGTGCACAAGATGTGTGCGTGCAGACACAAGTACACTCTCTATTCCTGTCACTCTCATACTCTGGTGGGACGACTGCTCGACACGACCAGTGAGAGTTAAGGCGCAGGACCGACGGCTTAACGCGCTCTCCGAGGCACGGGGGTGAAACACCGCCAACTTCCCAACAGAAAGACTCAGTAACTAAACTTGGCCCGACCCGGGACTCGAACCCAGGACCTCCGGGTGTGCAGCCGTACATGCTAGCCACTACACCACCGAGGCATTTAATAATAATACGACCCCAGCAGAAATCTGCTATAGCATATCTAGTTTAAACACAGACGAGCCTGTAGAACAATGTCAGTAGCCTTGTCAAGAGACCTATCAAAACATTGTATAGGGTCTTCCGTTGCCTGTTATAAATAGTGAATATTATTTGTACTCAGAAACTGACTTGAATCCGTTATTGACAAAGGACTATTTTAGGTAACGATAATAACTACTTGTTTGTTTTTAAATTGAAAATTATAATAATGTAAACTTAAGATTAAATGAATTTGAAAATTATTTTACTTAATCTGTTATGTATTAAAGGTTATTATAATATTAGGTACATATTATATGTGCATTGTGAAGTATTTAGTAAAGTTTCAAATTTATATGAAACCTCCCTTGGGATATAACCTCTCAATTAAAAAAAATATTGATGATAACAGGTTCACAGTAGGCGAAGATATTGGGTAACATACGCAAAAAATTATAACCGAACTTTTATGAAGTCTGTCCATTGGGTCTCAGAAAGTTTCATATACCTAATATATACATATATATATAATATATATATATACATAATATATATATATATATATATATATATACATATATATATATATATATATATATATATATGTATATATATGTATATATATATATATATAAAAGTTTCATATACCTAATATATATAAGTTCCTTACTTATAGTCAAAATTTCAGTACGCTAAATACAGCGGTTGGGTCTGGGCCATGATGGACCGATCAAAGTAATAATCTATTTTATACTAGCGACTCACCCTTGCTCTTCTCGGGTTAGTCCCTAGTTACGTTTTAAAGTTTAGTATACATTTTTCAGGGATGAGATATTTTCCCGCTGTAAAAAAATTCTATATGTTGACCCGGATAACCAGATCTCATCAAACCCAATTTTATCAAAATCTGTCCAGTGGTTTTCTCGTGATACGTTCGCAGACAATAGACAAATAAAAATTTTAAAAACTATAGATTCGACCTCTGTATCGATAATAATGACTACTTCAATAAGATTTTCCAAAAAAATATTTGATGTATAGATTCGACTCAGAATTTTATTATATGTATAGATTTATATAGATAATCTTCACTAAAATCCGTACATATGAAATCATATTTCTAAATCGATTTGTCGATCGACTAATCACATGTATTGGGACGTCCATTTCCTTTCCTTTTTATCTTGTTTTTTTCTCGTCATTTGATGTCCGTACACGTACAATGGAACATGTGAAAGGGCACATACTGGCCTTAATTTTATTCAATTTGTAACTTTCGAACCCAAAACTTTGGTGATGCATGACTCGAACAGTAATTTGACTTTTATTGCTTTCAGTCTACCGGATATTTTGAAAAAGGTTTCTATAAATACAAGTATAAAATACAGAGAGTTATATATTGTTTCCTCAGTACTTCAAGTTTACAGCTTATTTGATATTGGAATGTTTAAATAAATAAATAATAATAAATATATATGTTAGGATATAAACACTTGTGTTATGGATACCAGATAGTTGATACGCTAAACATATAACTTTAAATACATACATATTATAAATATAAACACCCATGACTGGAGTACAAACATTCGTGCTCATCACACAAATGAATGCCCCCAGCGGGACCTGAACCCGCGATCGCTGGCACAGCAAGTAAGTAACTACAAACTGAGCCAAACGAGTCATCAAGTTTATATATATTGTTTTTTTTTTAAAGTAATACCGTTAAGATGTATAATGTATTTAAGATTACAGGTTTGATTATAGCACAGAGAAATGTTTGAATCTACTTTTACTGAAGCTTAAACATGTAGGCTATTATAAAACGTTTTCCAGAAGAAGCATACCTTGACGTGATTGCCTCCAGGCAGGCCACTTTCATGTTAGAAAATTAAGAGTAATTTATAATTTTCTTTACAAAAAAGATAAAAAAAAATTAGATTCTTTCTCCAGTTCTTATCACGACTTGGGCTTTTTAAGGTTTCGTAGCCCAATGTATAAAACACTACTCTTACAATTTCGCCATGTAGAGTCGTCCATCCGTACGTCACAGTCATTTTACTAGAACACTATTAGAGCTACATGATTAAAATTTAGTAGGTAGTAGTGGTATCTAACGTAAATCACTGGACAATTCTGTAGTCAAATTATTAAACATAAAAAAGAAGTGGGTTCCAAAGGTTTATGTGTAAATCATATAAGCAGGCGAAATTATAACAGTTTTGTTTTAGCCATTTAGCTACGGAACCCTAAAAAGGAGTTTTAAGACAAACTACTAATTTAACTAATTTAAAGACAAAAAACTAATTTAAAAGACATACACGTTGACACTAAAGAAATGGCATTTAATCTATCTTAGTTGTTAAGAAACATTTTAATTACGTAGGATATATATATATATATATATATAATATATATATATATATATATATATATATAATATATATATATATTTTGAAAGTAAACTTGCTTTAATTTTCTTAAGTATAATCACGTTTCATAAACGAGTAGGTACTTTATTTCCCTTATTATGTAAATAGTTTGCGAATAGCAACTCCACTCTTGTAGCTAACCGAACCAAACTCTAGGTGTGTATTAGAAGTTTACCACTTGCAGACTTTTCACTTGGAGAGTTGTTTAATTAACACTTTACAGAAGTTATTAAGTTTTATATTCAAGTATATACTTGAAGAACTTTAAAGATATAAGTATGTTGTTATAAGATAGAATTATAAAATACAATAGATATGTATAAGGAATGTAGATATAATGCATTGTACTTCGAAGATTTTAGTTAAAATGCATTATTCCTAATTAGATATGATGATCTTATTCCGATTAGATATCAGAAATAAAAACTTTTTAACAAAAAAATAAGAACCGACTTCAAAAAAGCACTAAACAGTAAAAAATAACTGATTGGTAGTTTTCATTTACTATACATACCTAATTAAATATTTTAAAGAGGCCTGACTCTTCATTCGATTAAAGAATCGGTATTGAAATTCACCTCTATGATTTTTGTCAAGTATTTTTTTATTTACAAGCTTTTTAGTTTTGGCCAGCTGGAAATTTTTAGTTTTATTGTGCTGTATAAACGGTTGCATATTTAAATATAGTGCACACATATAAGGTCTCTAAAAACATTTACGAAAAATACTCTTTTGTAAGTCGGCGTCAAAAAAGTGTAATATGTTATCGAAAACCAATAAAAATGGCATGGGTGTTTGTTTGTTATTGTTATTTTCTGGAAAATCTTATTGAAATAGACATTGTTATCGATACAGAGGCCAAATCTACTATTTTTAGAATTTTTGTCTGTCTGTCTGTCTGTCTGTCCGTCCGTCCGTCCGTCTGTCTGTCTGTGTTCTGTCTGTTACCGCATCACAGAAAAACCACTTGAGGGATTTTGATGAAATTTGGTACGGTGATAGCTGGTTATACGGATCAACATATAGGATACATTTTACCGCGGGAAAATATCTCATTTCTGAGAAAAAATACAAAAACTGCAATGTAAAAGCATACTGATATGTAAAACCTAAGAATTTGGTTTTTTTTTCATCTGAACGCGGGCGGAGCCGTGGGCAATGCTAGTTATTATTATATATTAGTCTATGAGAGACGATAGTCATTTACCATCAGGTGGATCGTTTGCTCGTTTGCTCCTTCTTTAAATACAATATACTATATAGAGAGCATTATACGGTTAACTATAAATGGCTATAAATGCGACGCAGAAAGTGTAACCTATAAGCCTGACACTAATAGGTACATTTTCTTCAATATATTTATTGCAAACACTGCTAAAAATATAAAAACCTCTTAATTCGAAAGTCAATATTTTCGTACATTTATATGGTAATGCTTGTATAGCTAAATTGTGTTAGAGTTTTATGTTTGTGGTGGAGGGTCGCATGTCGTTCAATTTGCCCGCTTTTTACAACTTCATCATACTTTAAACTTCCTTTCGTGCATAAATTTTCGAAAGTTGCTTTTTAGTACTTTCTGGATGGTTAAGGTTTTATATTTCTTGTTTATATGATTAATAGCATGAAAAGATTTCATGATTTCAACAAACATCGATTATCGGTAAAATATTTTAGTAGCGAAGCGGACCCGTAGGCAGACATGGTATTCCGTAGATTTTGTTTGGAAGGAGAATTAAAAAAAAACGGGATCATGATAACAACGCCACCTACCAAAAATAGTACCAGTATGTAATCATAGAAAGACATATACTAAAGTTAATAGAATGTTTACTTCAATAAGCTTGTCAATAGGTAACTAAAAATATTTGCTGTAATCATATTTACTTTCCTCTCTCTTAAGGTTTGATATCAAAATGTTGCAATGTTTTAACAATGTTGCTAATATAATAAATATTATACTAGCACTTACCAGCCTGCTTAATAAAATTAAAAAGATTTTTTTAAGAATACAAGATAGCTGGCATTAATAAATAAGAAAATATATTAAGTAAGTAATGAAAAATTAAAAGTAATGTCAAAATACTGTTACTTGATCATATGTAGATGTCGCATCCTAAGATAAAAAAAAATCAAACCCATAGTATTTCTAAATAATAGGTGTGCTACAATAATATGTAACAATATTATGTACATATTTATGTATTAAATACAATATTATGTAATTTAAATTTCAATTTTAGTATGTTATAGTAAATTTTGAACTGTCTATATTTGTTTTACACTAAATAAACAAAAATTTAAAACTCCAGCGAAATAAGGAAATACGTTCGTATTTTAAGGCTTTTTGTTTAGAAGTAGGCAGTCAACAAAAACTTAGTTCTGTGAAATGGGGTAGAGTGGTTTTACTTAACGTGCAAAAACGGCATGAAAAGGTCTAAATCACCGGTTTAAATGGATTAACTAACTCTCTTATGTAATAAATATGAATGCTTACTACTTGCGTCGCTAATGTGGTTATATGAA